ATGACGTTGATGACGATGATAACGATGATGATGATGATGATGATGATGACGATGACGGCGACGGCGAGTACGAGGACGTTGGCGAGGACGTTGGCGAGGACGATGAGAAATCTAGATCAGTTTCGGTTGAACTCTCGCTTGACAATTCACTCGTAAGATCCGTCGTGGAGCTCGGCGACGCTTCGCGACAGCATTCCAAGAAGGCGGGATCCCAGGGAATGCCAAACGAGAAGCTTTTGAAGGAGCATCCTTGACCCATAGACCCCGCGAGGATACCTGATAATACATTGATAAGACGCGCGTCAAGGGATAATCAATACGAACGAGTTTATCCGAGTTTCGTTGAAGTAGAAGCTTTTATTAATACATTAAATATTCTTGACGTAATTCGCAAGATAGACTGTGCTTTCCGACAGCTCAATGAACAAGGAGCACAGTGAATCAGCATCACATCTTTGTTGTTTGCCAATGTTAAACAAAGATGATACGATCGCTGTGTTACACTGCGTCGTTTGTTTGGAAAGCACACCAATAAATTGAATAAAAGTACCTAGCTTGCAGCCCTCGCAACAGTCGCGATGATAATCTCCGCGGCCGAAAGTCTTCGGAGATCTTTGTGACGCCGTGCTTGTCACGCAGGCCAGACCTTTGCGCGCGTCGGCTTTTCCTTTTTCGCATTGCAGTTCGTGATAAGCCCGGACGCAACAGATATCAACAGCCTCGAGGCAAAGACCTTGCTCCACCCTCGGCACTCCGGTCACAGGCCCAGTGAACTTCTCACACCTAAGACCCTCCTGAGCCCAAGAAGAGCCAAGGCCGCAGCATTTCTCGAACTGAGCCTCCATTCTTCCCTCGACAACGAGCGCTATTTCGTGGGATAAAAAATAAGCGAGTCGTGTTAATTTGCTCGGAGAAGCATACAGATACGGTAATTACATCGGTAATTAATTTAATAATGATACATCTACAAGTCAATTCGAATAAAATGTATAGGAATTGGAATTCTTTGTAAAGTTGAAGAAAAATGCAAAATAATATTATA